ACAAAATTCACAGCGACCTTTCTCATTCCCAAATCTTCCATTAAAACGAACGGAACCAAAAGATAGTCCAGATGACTCCCCATCTCTTCAACGGTCAGTTCTTGGTCTTCAAGCATAAGTGCACAAATTTTGTTGGCATTTTGACCATTTGGGGAGATCATGGATGTCCAGACGAGGTTTGTTATAATCAACATTTCACCCTTTTTGAAATGAGAAACCCACTAGTACACGTGAGTTTTTTCCATAGCACTGTCCTTGTAAGCTGTGTTCACCATCACAAGTTTCTGTGGCAATTTTCCTGAGCAGGAAACCAAATTTCACAGCTGCACACTGTTCTCTTAAATTGGCCGTCACAAAAAAACTAGGTTTGAGCGAAACTGCTTTTACGAAAAATTCACTATGCCCACAGAGAACCTTCCCAGGCGATGCCACTGGGTGGACTAACTCAGAGCAAGTTGTCAGTTGCATGCCTCGTGGGAAAAACACATACCATGAAAGCTCCGCCCATCGGAGCTTTATTCCAGTTTTTGGCGGGTACTCCTTGTAAAACTCAACACTTCGTGGGATTGTAGAACCTCCCAATCACTGGTCCAGCCTTATGACTTGCCTCCTTGGTAATGCATGCTGGCCAAACTGCCAATAACTCTTTCCACGTGTACCCTGCTGCCCTCCAGATTTCCAAGTTGGTTTATGCACTTTCCCAGGACCCCTATCTTTTTGATGTCTTATTCCCCAATGTGATCCCTTTTTAATATCTCACACCCTATAAAGGAGTTCCTTCTCCCTTTCGTGTTTGTGCATGTGAGTGCATAGAGTACGTCTCCGGTGTGCAGCACACTGAAGAAATGACTGCTCTGGCTTATGCCTCTCTGTGGAGGCATACTTGATAGTGGGAAGGTGGGTTTTCTTCTGTATATGTTGAAATTCCCAACTAGGGGAGTGCTTTTCTTCTTCTTTCCAGCTTTACAGTTTTCCTACTATGTCCTTATGCTTTCGGCCTTACACGAGTTCCTTAATAAACAGATCGGGTAGTCAAGGAAATATTATTTATTCAAGAGCTCTTAGATTTCAGGCCTTGTTCTGGGGATGGGAGGTAGCGTTGATCAAAAATACACACGAGTGTGGGAAGGTGGAGCATTACATTTTGGGGAGTGTTGGTGTTAGAAAAGCCTTATAAAGGAGGGTACTGGGGTTTAGGAAGGTCAAGTAATTGGGAAGCGATCACCCAGCAAGTTGCTGGCAGATTCAGGAGTTCTGGCTCCAAGCTCAATGCTCGTTTGTCTCACACAGTCCAGATATTTGCCAAGGCATCTTTGGTCAAAGGGTTTAATACCATAAAAAGGCAATCTGGTGGGGTGGGGTGGGGAATGTTCTTCTTGAACAGTACTGTTCAGGGTGCTTGTCTCAGGTAGAGAAGAGAAAAAAACACCTCAGGTTTTACATAGTGCATCCACCAAGAAGCAGGGTTTGGTTCTACCACCCAGGTTCATCCTAACATGAAACGGAGGTAGGAAACTGAGCTTCCCTGAGAGAATGAGGGAGTCAGCAATTGGAAAGAATGTAGGACAGTGGTCCGGGGATGGAAAGGCTTTGGATTGAATTCTTTTTAAGCTTCCTTCCACCCAGAAAGCTGATAAATTAATTAACATTGAACTGATGCTAAAGAGCTATGAGATGAGCCTGGTGGCAGAGTGGTTACATGTTGCTGACCTCAAGGTCAGCAGTTCAAAACCACCAGCTGCTCTACAGGACAAAAGGTGGGGATTTTATCCCCATAAAGAGTCACAGTCTTGGAAATGCACAGGGGCAGTTCTACCCTGCCCTGTAGGGTTGCTGTGAGTCGGCATCGGTTCAATGGCAGTGACGTGTTAAACAGCTATGAAAGTTGTCCAACAATTAGTTGTGCCAACAGCTACTATTGAGGGCTGCCAGGGAGGTTGTGTGCCACCTGCCCAACTCTGGGCAGTGGCCCTAAGATGTGTCCTGATGGATTCCTGGGACAAGGCTCTGGGGTCCAGATTTCGTTCACATCACAGACCTGTCTTTGAGGGGTTATCTCCAGCGATGGTTAGCAGCTAAGAATGACATTCCCCCTCTGCCCTCTAAGTGCAGAAAATAAGAATGACATTCCCCCTCTGCCCTCTAAGTGCAGAAATTCTAACTGAGACGGTTTCTGACTTAATGGAGACGAGGCAGCCTCCTTCTCGCTCCTCGTACAGAAGGCAGGCAGCTGCAGCAGCTGGACATTCTACTCCTTCAGCCAAATAACTGCCCTTGTATCCAACACAATGTCAGTGAGCTCCCTACTTTCCTCTGTGGGGTCACCTTTTTGACATAACATACACTGAAAGAGCAACACTTTGGGTCTTTTTTTTTTTTTTTTTTAGCGAAATCAGTAGGTTGGTAGCATTTACTTGTGCTGTGAAGAAGAAAAGGAGGAAGAGGAGGAGGAGGCGGAAGGAGAAGAAGAAGGAGAAAGGCCTGCTGTTTTGTTGACCCTCTACTAAGTGGTCAGAGGAAGGCTCATCCTTTGCTTTCTCTGCAGGGTGGGAATGGGGGTCAAGGCACCCCCCTGGGCACATGCACATGTCCCTGCTCTGTTATCTCCAACCACTTTGCGACGTTCTGCAAAGTTGTCCCATGGTACTCACATTCTGTTTACAAATTAGCTAATAAAATGTGTGTGGTTTCAAAGGGTTTTAATTTAGCTTCTGTTTTGTTGGCACTTTCAAGGATCTCTACGTATTCTGAAAGGCACGTACTATTTAGCATGAATTGAACAAACGGCAACCATGTTCACTAACAAGCAGCATCATTTTGAATGGCCAAAAGCTACTTAAAAACACACACGCACGTGCACACACGCAAACACATTTACATACAATAGTCTCAGGTTACTATTTGCAGCTATTATTCTGATTATATTCAGATCTTTAAACCACTGACCCGAGTTCACATTTTATTTTTTTAATTGGTTTTAAAAAACCAACAACTCCCCCCCGCCACCAGCTCTCCCCAAACAAACATTGCCAAAATAAGACAGTCCAGAGAAAAAGAACTTGGATTCTCTCTTTACTTCCCGTCACATTGAGGCTATTTCGTGCTTCAGAAGGAATAACTGGCACAGATATGACTGGTGACGAATTTTATCCAGTAGCCATATATCTGATCTGTGAAGAAGTTGCCAGAGCTTAAATTGAACATGATCTTAGTGACATTATTATGGGGCTTCCCAGTAATTTCCAGATGCAGGGGAGAAGCATTTGTATAAACTGTCTTGTTTTTTTTTCTCAGACGAAAAAGCAAACCCAGAGAGGTTCAACCACTTGCCTTTTGGCTTATACGTGGAAGATGAGGTGCTCCTATGTGCAGGGGTCTTTAAGAAGCAGTGAAGGGTACCAATCATTCTCTGCCACGTGTTTTTGGAGTAGCATCCCCTATATTTATACCCTAGTAAGTAAATGCTATTTCAAAACCGTTGCTATTTTAAAAATGTGAGTAATCCCAATTTTAACCTCTCTTCACACCAAAGCACACCTTGATTATAGTGAATATTCAAATGAAAGAAAGAAAAGAAAAAAGAGCCCCCCGTGGATGCCTTATAACAGATCCAGTTCCAAGTTAGCAGGGTCCTATTAAGAGACTGTTAAAAATCTGAGAGCAACAAGCCAAATTTTAGACCCATGGTACTTGCAAAGGAAGGGCAACTACTTTTATGCTTAGTTGCATAAATAAACATACTTTAAATAGTTCTCTCATGGTGCAGATGTGGAAGAGAGTGATTCTGCATTGATGTTATAATCAGAGTATATACAATGCAATATTAGAGCGGCAGATCTTACTTCAGAGACCAGCTTACAGACCGGGCATGAGTCAGAGCTGCTAAACGGAGGGCAAGAGCCTCATGCGTGCTCGCTCTAGAACGCCTGGCCGCTTCCTGGTACAAACCCTCGTACTGCTCCACACTGGTGGCTCCCTCCCAAAGATGCTAAGGATTGGAGAAAAGAGAATGATTGTCTCACAGTGAAGAGAGGAGGGGTAAGGAAGAGTGAGGGTGTGTGTGTGTGTGTGTGTGTGTGTGTGTGAGAGAGAGAGAGAGAGAGAGAGAGAGAGAGAGAGAGACTCTAACAGCTTCATCAGAGCGCTTTCCAATCATACCAGAAAACCTTCATATTCCCCTCTCTAGAAAGGGGCATCTGAGCGGACCTGTGGTGGGTTGGAGCACCAGCCTCCCCTTGCTGGGGATTCTAAGTGGCAATGAATTTGCTCACCAGGCTTACTACCCACAAGTGTTTCTGTCTCGTACTCTATAGGACATAAATCCCAGCGCCCCAAAGTGCACACCGTGGTGAAATGAATGTAGGGAGTTCTGGAGTAAATGGAGTTGAACAAGTTTCTGCATTACTAGATCCTTTGAGTTTTAAATGACACCAACGTGCCTGTGGCTCTTCGAGAGACAAGGGCGTGGGGCGGACTGGTAGGCTATGGAGTACTTTCTGCATATGTTTGGCCACCGAGGCTCTTTTCCTCAAGTACAGAGTCTTAGAGGTCTAGACCAGAGTAGAGCAAACTCCAGCCCTTGGGCAGCTTCCTGCTGTTGTAAACACGGGGCAGGAGTGCAGTTGCACTGGCAAGTTCAAGCAATTGTCTAGCTGCTTTTGACCACGTTGGGAATTGTGACAGCCACCATCGAACATATTCCGTGTCTGGCCTTTGAGAGCAAAGAGCTGCTAGTTTCCTCGCCTAGACCCACTCGTGGAATATACGTGGGTTATACCACAATGTCACAGCCAAGCGTACATTACTTATTCAGCCTCCATTTCATAAAACATTGAACCTCGTACGCCCCTTCCTGAAAGCAACGGGAGCCCCGTCGTAGAAAATACATTTGGTCTGTATCCACGTTAACAGAAAAAACCATATGACACTGTAATCCATTTCTGTGTGGCTCTCCAGCCACTGTACCCCTAGTCCGATGGTATCAAAAGAGGTTTCCTTACTTGACTGGTTCCCATGACTCCCGCTCAAAGCCCCTGTGAATGGATTGTGCGATTGAGGACTCCATCAAATCCACATATCTAACCACAAGTGGGGCAAACAGGTCTTGCAGGTGTTTGTGAAATTTCCCATTGCACAAATTATCTAGAACACATAAGCAAACACTTGGTAAGAAATCGCGGTGACTTTAGTAAGACACAATGCACACAGTGACAATTGTCTCCCGGGGTAAACATGCTTCTGTTAAGGAAGCCCCAAAGAAGTGGGCTATGACCAAGGGGTCTTCTCACCGCCCCCCACCCCAAAGGCTTTATTCCAGGAAGGGCAAGGGCCGCCACGTCCCTCCAGCATGAGTGTTTTGTGTGAGAATTGGTGGCCATGTGGCTGGCATGGGCACCGTGGAGTGAGTGAGTCTGACAGTGCAGCTTGGGGTGAACCCAAATGGGCTGATTGTGCCAGCCTGATCCCCAACCCAGTGAGCCTGGAAGCCCTCAGGAGACAAGGTGTGTGGAGACTCTATATGGGTGTGTGGGTGAGAGAGGAAGGAGAAGGTGATCGAGGGGCTGGGTGTCCACACCATCACGCTGACAGGACATTGTTTGGGATGCATGAGAATGTGTGGGAGAGAGAAAGAAATTGGCTGGGTGGTCAGGGTTATGTGTGAGTTTGTCATTGCACACTCTTGCCCTGTTGTGACTGTGGGACGATATGTGAGGATGACCAGGAAGGCCACATAAGGACATGAGCCTGATTGGAGTTCATGGTGACATCCGTTAGGAAGGAACACAGAATTCAAAACCATTTTATCCCTGTGTGCTACCTTTCTAGAAGGAAAAAAAACCCATGTTCCTTTCAAAAATGACAACCACCCTTGTTTTGTGGTTTCGTCTCTTCCTCTTTCTTCGTTTGCTACCCTGCCTCCTGTTATGCTCGCAAGAAGAAAGAGCATCTCTTTTCCCTACCTCATCCTCCCAGGAGAAGGAGGTCTGCTTTATCGTTACACGGGCCTGTAAGATGGGGGTGTTTGTAGCTAGTTTTTTTTTTCCACCTAGAAATCATCTTTTGATAAAAGTTGCCAAATGTGACAAGGTTAAGTGCATTAACTTGTTCAAGAGCAAGTAACATCCACAGGCCTGACGCCTCCTCTCTGATGGCCTAGGGGTTCCTCTGTCTAGTTAGGAGAGGGCCTCTTGGCAACAACACTTGTTGGAACAAAAGAAAATGCCCATTTGCTGTATGAGGTTTAAAGAAGAAAAAAAAAAAGCAAGGGCTCTACCTAGCCGGATGAGACAGACGTTTTAGCAATGGGCTCATCACCTAAGAACGTTGAGTTAGTTCGTTAATTGTGCCAACCTGGCTGATAAACAGAAGTGGGGTTAATTGAAGGGCGGAGGGATAAATGGCTTGGTGAGCCTCGCCTTTCTAGTTCTCAGGTCTCCTGCTTTGTGATGGTCGCACCAGGGTGCAGCTGCCTTAGCCAGTTCCCTGCTTCAGCTGGCAAGACTGGCTTCCTGCAAGACATCCCCAAGGAGAAGCTGCATGGACCTACCCTGATGCAGCCCTGGGTGCTGGAGCAGCCGTGTGGAGACCCCTGTCAGGGCTGAGATGATTACACGTTCACTGACTCGGCTTTCTCCCTGCAGTCGGCATCATTATGTCTATTTTGTGAGATGGAGGGGGAATTTGTGGACTGGTGTTGGGCTTATGGGTTAATGGGTTAATGTTGGACTTGTGGGCTTGGGCAGCACTGGGTTGGTATATTTTCTTGATACGCACTTAACCTTTACATAAAACTCTCTCTTATACATGCGTTTCTACGGATTTGTTTCTCTAATGTACCCAGACTAACACAAACGTCAAACAAGTGAGGAGGGTACCTACAATCAGTACGGAGAAAATCATTCAGCAGCTGAAACAGTGGAAAGCTGTCCCACGTGTCTGGAGGTTGCACCTCTAAGGCTGCATCCATGTCCACCGCAAAGAGGGACAGGAATGTCTCGGCGTGCTCCACCATTAAGTCCGACCACCACGCAAAGGCCTTTGAAATTTGGCAGAAAGACAACAGACAGAGACATGATAAGCTTCTTTCTCAGGCAGAGGACATGAGCTCAAGACCTCACCGCTCAGGATTCACTGTGCATCCAGCAGGGTTTGGGAATTCTATTGTAAAGAGAACAGTGTTTTTTGTTTTTGTTTTTTTTGGGGGGTACAACTGGGTCCCTAAGTGTCCCAAGACAATGCCTTTCATGATGGCGGGTCTGCCTTAGAGACTCTCTTCTGACCCTCAAACCAGAGGGAGTGGCTATAGGAATGATAGACGTGGTCACTTCTGTTCTGTTTACAATAACTCAGTGTGTTTAGAGTCATGCTCTTTGTTAACGCTGTTGGCTAGTTCTTGCTCTGGGTTATTAGACTCTGGGAGTTTCTTCACTGTGTTTATGGGTTTTCTGCTGGTCTGTTGACTTGACATTTTGCAGTTATTGTTTGCTTGAGCTCCACGTGCCTGGGACTTCCCTGTCTGTGGTCTCATGCAAACTCGGGGCTCACGCTTCTCTACACGTTGGAAATGTTTCTCTTACTGGATACCAAGTCAAAGGGGGCCATTGCTGCAATTGCCACAACACTTTGGGGTCCAAAATCTCACTAAGCAGGGAGTTTTCGGCTTTATATCTGGTCTGGTGGAAGGATCAGGCTTTAGGTTAGGGAGCACAGTATAATTAGGATTTACTTTTCTAGGGGAGGTGGGTCAGGGGCTGGACACATATGTACATTGAAAACCAAAAATATCAGTGAAGTAACTCATTTTCATGCATGTAGGTCCTTAGAAATCATTGTGCAGGATCTGGGGTGGTGGCAACATTCGCATCGGACTGGGCCAGATGTGAATGCAATTCAAAGGCATGCATGCAGGTTGACTGGTCATTTCTGGCAGGGAGCATGCAGAATGAGTGGCGGCGGAGTCAACAACCTCCCCTCCCCCCCACAACCTTTTAGTTGTTGATTTCAAAGACAGCAGGGAAAACAAAAAAAAAAACAACAACCAAAAATAACTCCCCTCTAAATCACCAGCCCCTCCTTGTCTCCCACCTCCCCAACCAATGATGCCGTAAAGCATTTACATTGGAAACACTTTGCGGAGCATTCACGGAAAGAAAAAAAAAAAAGAAGAAAGAGAGAGAGATGGGAAGGCAATCAGGATCATGAAAGATGATTATGGAAATAATTCCATAAATGAAAGAGTTTGCTCAATGACCAAGCTCTTCTGGGATCTATCAGTTATTGGGTGATTGGAACAGCCACTGGGAGGTAGGTGAGCCCAACTCTCTTCTCCCACAAAATTTCATCTTACTTACTTCTCCTTTATCAACATGGGGCTGGTTTGCAAATTAAATGGAAAAAATCAAGTCATGGACCATTCTGCAAGGTCAGCTTGGCTGGAAATAGCTGCTGTTTCCACCTTAACTTATTGAAAAACCTCACTGGTTCAGAGTAATGAGAGCAAGGAGAGGTGAGTGTGCTGCAGTTACTGGGCTCTTCAAATGGCCACAATCATTGGGCTTCTCAAATGGAAATATTGGTTTACTGCTTTCAAAAACAAAAACAAACAAACAAATGCCCGACAAACAAACCCATGCTGAACCCGCTGCCCTGGGGTCCCCTCCAATTCAAAGCTGTCTGTGACTGGGCACCAAGTGGAAAGGTCTGATTCGTGTAGTCTATGCTGGTGTCCATGCAGATGCATTATAAACATAAACATTGGTTCCCAATAATTGTTAAGGTAAGCTGACTGGTAAGTTGAAGGCGAAGGGAGGCTTTGATGGCATTGGCCATGAGCTGCAACAAAGTCGAGGTCCCTAACTCTTAGGGAAGAGCCTTTCAAATTTCAGAGGAATTGGAGATCATGGAAGGCATTTGACTGAAGGAAATGTAAAAGTGTCACATCTGCATTTGAACTAGCACAAATCCCAAGTGCTGGGGTCTGAACCAGTGAGGTTTTACTGTGGTGTCACCCCCTGGGGATGAGACCCTGGGGCTTGGGGCTTGTTTTAGGGACCTTGTGGCTTGTTTTACAGAGGAGGAAACCCTCCATCCCGACCCCAGCATGTCCCCATTAAGCAGACATGGTCTCATTCATAGGTTCCCAAACTTATTTGGCTACCATCCCCGTTTCAGAAAAAATGTACTCAGCACCTCCCTTGCAATGAAAAATGTTTGTCCTATAGCCCATAATCCAAGATACAGGGTCTGCTTTGGCAGCCTCTCTGGATCATTCCAAGCCCCCCACCCCACCTCCACCCCCAGGGAAAGTATCACCCACTTTAGGAAACACAGTCTAAATAATGATACTTGAGGGAGGCCCCACTCATCCCACCCCAACCCTATTTGGATGATAGACCCTCTTCAATTCAGATCTAGGCTCTATGCAAAATTTCACAAGGGCACCCAGTGTTGACCAACCCAGTGTTGGCCAGCACTAATTCTTCGGTCACTGCATAAAGTTTACATCTTCACTGTGAACCCTGGAAAACAGTCCCTGGAGGAGACCAAGTAGCCTACCCAGAGATGAGGGATGCTCTAAGACGACAGGAAAATCCAAACCAATCATCCAAACAAAACGCAATCCTAACTCTGAACTTAAAAATGTCTCCATCCAACCATATACAGACTTCTTACCAGCTTCTTAATTTAAAAGTTGCAAACCAGCGGCCACGGGAAGCATCTACAGAGCCCTTATTCTCGAGTTGTAATGTACTAATTTATTGGGCAACTATCTACAGTGGTTGCATGAATCATCATATAGCTAGTTAGCCCTACAGTGAGTACAGTGATATGAATGATCACCATGGAAACCTGGCAGAGGAATTTAGGACCCTGGTGGACCAAGAAAATTACAATTTGGGGTTGCAGAAGAGGGGGAGACCAGGGTTATTCCTGTACATCCTGGGAAATTCTTTCAAATCCCCATAACAACACCTGATTCTCTGAGAAGGAGGAAAATTTTCTGAGCAATAAAACTAACAACCAAGAGCAATCTCATAATTTCAATCATGAACAGAGTCTTTGTGACTGAGTTGGGCATGAAAAAACTAAAAAAAAATTTTTTTTATAGCTAGATGTGTCTTATGCTTGCTGGCATAGGTGAATGTTATTTTTGTATGTGAGCTAATATAATATTTGTGGACATCTAAAGTTTTAGAAATCTTCCCCAAAGACATGAAGAGCTAATTAACATTAGCTTGGTTTCTAAATACTTACCCAATGGCTTTCATTATTCAAAAGCAAAGATGTGGGTTTTAGGGGTACAGTCAACCACACTGAACACACTATATGCTGTACACAAACTAACATGTATATATGTACCTCTCTGTGCACCACAATACATATATACATATACATACGTATACATAGAGAGAGAGATTAGGAGAGTGAAGTAGTGATACATGAAGGTATAATTCATGTATATCTCTATGTGCATGTGTGTGTAGATCCTGAGGACAGAATAAAGCTGTAATTAACAGATAAATGACATTCCTGCTACCCTATGCTGCATGGGCATCTAGGACATATTTGTAATGGCCTGGAATTTTTTTCTCTTGGGGTACTTAGTTGCTTTATTTTGGAATTAAGAAATGGCTTTAAGGATTCTGTTTTTCAAGGGATGGAGGCCAGTTTGTTTGTGATTTTCATCTCTGTGGGATCCCCCAACAGCCTGGCTGCATAGCCCAAACCCAGGCGTATGAGCTGATGATTTCCTCAGGTTTACTAAGCACCCAAGGAGGATGGCAGTGAGTACTGGCTGATAGGAAAAAAAGTTGCCGTAACTTCATCCTTTTGGGTAGCAACAACCCATCCTTCATGTGCCAGGAACATTCCACGTCTTCTGCTGTAGCCCCATGGTTCTCCTGTCCAGCTGTTCAGGGCCATAACCTGGGCGGCTTAACAAATATTACCAATGCTTGGCCCTTCCCCAGGTGATTCACATTCATTGAGCTGGGTGAGACTGGGGCATTGGCACTATTGTGGAGCCACCCTGGTGATTGCGATTGGCAACCAAGGTCGAGAACAGGTGGGAGCACCTTTTGTGGCCACTTCCCCTTGAAATTGAGCCATTCCTTTCAACACCTTTTGACTGTATCATTCACTTGGTACCTTCCACTGTGGCTTTGTCCTGTTCATAATCACACCTCCATGGGGCTTTGCTTTCTTAGTGATTTATTCCTAATTCACAGCAGAGCCAACCTTTGGGGAGGGTTGACTTTGTACCAGTCATAATTCCAAATGCTTTACTTCATGGGGCCCCTCAGCCTAACAACAATTGTTTATTATCTCCAACCATCAGGGTAAGAAAGGATATGCTATGGAAGAGGCCAGGCTAGAACTCAGGGCCTGTGCTCTTGGCAACTCTGCCCACTGTTGTTGAAGGCCCGTGACCTCATAGCTCCTTGTCCTTGCGGGACACCCCAGGTCTGAATCCTTAATGTGCAGCACCTCTGAAATACTCCGTCAACAGCTCTTAACTGATTGATTGGCTAATTCATTAGTTCATCTCAAGTAATGAAAGTATGTGCTTAGGTGAAATGGCTCATCTGGAGAAGAATCACGTACATTCATCTAAGCGCCTGGTTTCTGGAGTCTGCTGAAGTCATCACTACTCACTTCTGAGGTTAGGAGTGAAGACAGGGTTGAGTTTATTTTTGTCCTGTTCACCCCAAATGATTTGGATCCAGAAGATGACAATGCTCTGTGGTGATGGTTACTCAGGTAGTTTAAGTTGATGGTCAGTTTTGTGAAAGAGTGAATCACCTTCTTTGGAACATTTGCTTTCCACTGGCATCCCAAGTTGGAGTAATCTAGGAAGGACACATTCTCTCTTAGCTTTCAGCAGCCTCCAAGAATCGCTTGATTAGAAATCAAGTGTATCCTATGGCTTCTCTTCAATCATGCACTTGAAAGTCTTCTACCATTCGCTGTGACTGAGGAAGACCGTCCTTCTACCTGTCTCTTCACAGCTGTGCGGTTTGACCGGGCATCCTGGGAAAAGCCTCAACATGCCAGATCCCATCCCATCCATGTCTCTCTACGAACCAGTGGAGCAGCATAATTCCCATCTCTGGAACCCCCAAAGCCCCAACCCACAAAGAACATCTGTTAGAATAAAGCAGAGAGAAAAAAATTCTAACCCATGCTCTCTTTATTTTCCGGGAGGTTAGTCTTAGGTTTATGTAGCTGCAGGTTGTTGGTTGGCTCCCCTTCTCACTCATGCCTGTGCCTTGCTGGGTGCTGTATGAGCTAATTGCCTTAGATAGAAGCCTTCATTCTCAGGTGGCTTGGGAAACAATGATTCTTCAGCACTCTCTCTATATATAAATACAGTATATATGATTCACATACAGACAGTTCTAGGGGAAGATTAGTATCACTCTGGCTAGCTACTGGTTACTAAGGTGGTCACTAATAGGTGGCAATAAAAGGGAGTATAGACGGACAAGGGAACTACAGCAGGCTAAGGACAGAATCAAGGCAGGTAGGAGGCATGTCTCGGGATGTAACTGCACTCATTGTTAAATAGGCCAACGGCTTCATGCACGCAAGAGAATCACCCACATTTATTCTGCCATGGAGCGTCACCCATTCCACAAGCAGTCCGCCGGAAGTAGCTGTTACATTCCTTGGGTCAGTGTTAGAAAGCAGGAGCTCCCAGGAAGAGTCCCACTAGGAGACATGGTATCGGAAGGGCATGCACAGAGTAGGACAGCAGGTGGCTGGTTCATTCGGTTTAGTCACATACCTCTTTCCCCTGCCACGATCAGCCAAGATTGAATGAACGGTAGAGAAACAGGGAGGAAATTTAAATATGCAATCAGGCATTAGTTGGGATGATTAAGGTTTATGGTGTATTATATATAATTTATACTGTCAATTTTCATTGAGTCATGGGAATGATCATTTTAGATGCTTGTGACATTACTTTTATGGAATGCCTTTTAAAAGATCCCCTTTTGCTGTAGATCTGGATATAGAGGAAGAGGGAGAAGTAGTGCAATTATAAACAAGACTGTGTTAAAAGACAATGAGGTCAGGCTTGAAGCAGGCAGTGATCCGACAGTGTGACCATCTTAAGATGTTGAGATCTTCTCGTGGAAGGGCCAGGTTGTTTTAGGTCCTTACAGGTTTGGGATTTAGTTCACTTTGGTACCTCTTGGTTTAAAATGATGATCAAAACATTCCTTTTGACAGTGATTGATTAAAAAAAGTCAGCTGTGTTTATTAAGATGTAGGCTGGAGAATGGGCAGACTGAACAACAGAATAGTTCACTCCTGCCGCTGTGTGTAGCCACCCAGGTAACTGAAGGTTAAAAATGAAGACCACAGTGCTAAGTTTACAAAGATGGGCCACAATCCACACACCAAAGAACCCACCAAAACAAGCTTGGTGGCAACATACATACACACACACACACACACACACACACAC